CACTTGCATTGAGAAGGGACTGATCCTTGTTAATGGCCAAGAGAAGAAATGGATCCATGTTAGTCACAGAGAGAAGAGGCCGATCCATATCACTGGCAGGGACATTTAGCAGGTTTATGTCACTACAGAGAGAAAGGGCCAATCAATTTCACTGGCAGAGAAAAGCGTCAGTTTTATTTCACTAGCATTGAGAAGGGGCCAATCCATGTCACTGGCAGGGGCATGAGGCAGGTCCAAGTCATTGGTATTGAGAAGGGGCCAATCCATATCACTGGCAGGGAGATGGTGCAGGTCCAAGTCGCTGANATCAATTTCACTGGCAGAGAAAAGCGTCAGTTTTATTTCACTAGCATTGAGAAGGGGCCAATCCATGTCATTGGCAGGGGCATGAGGCAGGTCCAAGTCATTGGTATTGAGAAGGGGCCCGTTGATGTCACTGGCAGGGAAAAGGGCCAGGTCCGTGTCAGTGACTGAAAAGTAGCCCCTTCAGGCCACTGGCAGGTAGGTGGAACATGTCCATGTTACTGGCATTGAGAAGGGACTGATCTATATCACTAGCAGAGAGAAGAGGCTGATACGTATCACTGGCAGGTAAAAGGATGAGCTCCATGTCAGTGGTATTGAGAAGGGATCGTTCTGTGTCACTGACAGTGATATGAGGCAAATCCAAGGCACTAGTATTGAGAAGGGACTGATCCATGTCATTTGCTGGGAGACGGAGCAGATCCTAGTCACTGTCATTGAGAAAGGGCCTCTCCATGTCACTGGGAGGGAGAAGGAACAGGTCCTTGTCACTGGATTGATAAGGGGTGATCCATGTCACTAGCAGAGAGATGGGACCAATCAATTTCACTGGCAGGGAGAAGGAAGATCTCCATCAACGGTATTGGGAAGGGGCCTCTCCATGTCATTGACAGGGAGATGGGGGAGATCCAAGTCACTGGCATTGAGAAGGAGCCCATCCATGTCTCTGGGCAGAAGAATGAACAGGTCCATGTCAGTAGCATTGAGAATGGGCCAATCCATGTCACTGGCAGGGAGATGGACCATGTCCATGTCACTGGTNGTTGAGAAGGAGCCCATCCATGTCTCTGGGCAGAAGAATGAACAGGTCCATGTCAGTAGCATTGAGAAGGGGCTGATCCATGTCACTGTGAAGGAAAAGGAGAAGAACGGGCTGATCAGTTTCACTGGCAGGGAGAAGGAACAGCTCTATCAGTGGTATTGAGAAGAGAGTAATCCATTTCACTGTCAGGGAGATGAGGGAGGTCCATGTTGCTGGCATTGAGAAGGGGCTGATTGATGGCACTGGCAAGGAGATGAGGCAGGTCCAAGTCATTGGCATTGAGAAGGGGCCAATCCATTTCATTGGCAGGGAGATGGAGCAGGTCCATGTCAGTTACATTGAAAAGTGGTCCATTCATGCCAGTGGCAGGTAGGTGGAACGGGGCCATGTTACTGGTATTGAAAAGGGACTGATCCATGTCAATGGTAGAGAGAAGGAACAGATCACTGTCACTCTCAGAGAGAACNTGATCCATGTCAATGGTAGAGAGAAGGAACAGATCACTGTCACTCTCAGAGAGAACGGGCTGATCATTATCAGTGGTAGGGAGAAGGAACATCTGTATCAATGGTATTGAGAAAGGGCTGATCCATGTCACTGACAGGGAGATGGGACAGGTCCAAGACACTGGCATTGAGATGGGGCAGTTCCATATCAANAACGGGCTGATCATTATCAGTGGTAGGGAGAAGGAACATCTGTATCAATGGTATTGAGAAAGGGCTGATCCATGTCACTGACAGGGAGATGAGGCAGGTTCAAGTCAGTGGCATTGAGAATTGGATGAACCTTGTCACTGACAGGGAGATGAGGCAGGTCCATGTCACTGGCATTGATAGTGGACCGATCCATGTCAGTGGCAGGGAGAAGGAACAGATCCCTGTCACTAGCAGAGAGAAGGGACAGATCAATTTCACTGGTAGTAATAAGAACAGCTCCATCAATGGTATTGAGAAGGGGCCTACCCATGTCACTGGCAGGCAGAAGGACCAGGTCCATGTCAGTGACATTGAAAAGTGGCCCATTCAAGTCACTGGCAGGTAGATGGAACAGGTCCATGGTACTGGCATTGAGAACATCCCTCTCCATGTCACTGGGCGGGAGCAGGAACAGGTCCATGTCACTATCAGAGAGAAGGGGCTGATCCATGTCACTGGCAGGGAGATGGAACAGGTTCATGTCACCAGCAGAGAAAAGGGGCGATCTGTTTCACTGGCAGAGAAAAGGACCGGCTCCAGGTCAGTGTCATTGGGAAGGGCCCATCCGTGTCACTGGCAGGGAGATGGAGCAAGTCCAAGGGAGTGGCATTGAATCGGGTTCATTTCATGTCAGTGGCAGGGACAAAGAACAGGTCATGTCACTAGCAGAGGGAAGAGGCTGATCCTTGTCACTGGCAGCGATACAGAAGGTCCATGCTACTGGCATTGAGAAGAGGCCCATCCGTGTCTCTCGCAGGGAGAAGACGCTGGTCCATGTCACTGAGCATGTAACGTGTGCAGTTGTGTTTGCACCTTCCATCCGAACACACTCTTAGAGCTCTTTCTATTGGCCAAAGCCATAGATGTAAATTCTGACTCTGTTGGGTCTAAAATTATTAATTTGTTCCTATCCTAATTTATGTTCCCCCTTAGACATTCCCTCATATAGTCCATATTTTTCTGTTTGAATAAATTGGAAAATTCAATTTTTTTTCATAGATGAGCGCTTGTTCAAGGTCACTGTTTGATGCCCACCTTTTGGGCCCTCCTGCGGTTTGAGTCCTGCTCAGGTGGCAGCTGCCCCGGGCATGGTCACTATGCTTAGGACCCTTTTGTGTTTCCTCCTCACATTTTCCCACTCTGGGACCATCCTTAACTATTCTAGGTTTCTCCAGTGTATGGTTACAACTCTCCAGACTAGGCCTTCATTTTGTGCTCTTGTCTGACTTGGAACCACTGAGGACTAAACCTCATTTACTGAAGCAGGTCCGGCTGAATGTGGACACTTCGATGGACTCGTCTAGGAGCCCACCAGTGACTCCATGNCTGAAGCAGGTCCAGCTGAATGTGGACACTTCGATGGACTCGTCTAGGAGCCCACCAGTGACTGAACCAGAGACTCCATGCCTGCTGCCGCTCAGGAATTTCACGCCGTCTCTGCCGTCAGCACGCACATGACNGTCTAGGAGCCCACCAGTGACTGAACCAGAGACTCCATGCCTGCTGCCGCTCAGGAATTTCACGCCGTCTCTGCCGTCAGCACGCTCATGACACTGCAGGCCAGGAAGCACACCAGGTTGCCACGGCGGTCCCCACTCCTCTGCCCGGGGATGCTTGACACCAATATCTAGACATTTTCTCGACGCTCTAACGTCTGGAATTAGAAATTGCTTTTTTAACTCTTAACCTTTGTACTTTTTATTTTCATGGAAACTGTCCCTCACTGAATGTCTGATGACCGCACCACACGGCACGTCCTGCACCGCCGGGTTCAACCACGATTCTCCAGACCCTACGCAAACCAATGGGAATGGAATGGAAACAGTCTCATGTTACTTCAAAGAAAGGAGGATGTCTCCATTTCTCTTTTTCATTGCATGTGATTTTTTTTCTTTTTATTGAATTTACTGGGGTGACATTGGTTGACAAATTTATACAGGTTTCAGGTGCACAGTCTCACAGCACACCATCTGGACACTGTATTGTGTGCTCACCACCCCAAGGCAAGACTCTGTCCATCACCATTCGTCCCCCCTTTACCCTCCTCGCCCTCCCCCTGCCGCTCTCCTCCGCCATCACCACACTGTTGCCAGGTCCATGATTTTTTTCTCACTTTTTTTCCTTTTTTGCTCAATCCTGCCACCCCCTCCCATGTTTCCTCTTTTCTTGAAAAGGGGGGCTCAGTAGGTCCTTTTTATTTATTTATTTAATAAATCTTTATTAATTTCAGAGAGAGGAAGGGAGAGAGAGAGGGACATCCATGATTAGAGTCACTGATCGGCTGCCTGCTGCTCGCCCCCTGCTGGGGATCGAGGCGCCCACAACCCGGGCCTGTGCCCTGACTGGGAATCGAACCTCGATCTGGATCGTAGGCCGATGCTCAACTNTGGGAATTGAACCTCGATCTCCTGGATTGTAGGCCGATGCTCAACCGCTGAGCCCTGCCCAGCTGGGCAGAAGGTCCTTTTAAAATGATTTATAATTAAATTTTTGGAGGTAACATTATTTAATAACACTATATAAATTTCAAGGGTACAACTTCATAATCCACAGCTCCTGCATACTCTATTGTGTGCTCACCTCCCAAAGTCTCCTCATCTTTCATCACCTTGACCTTGACCCTCTCTGCCCTCTTGTCCTGCTCCCATTCCCCTTCCCATCTACTAACCACCATTTCATTATGTGTATCTGTGAGTTGGTTTTTCAATTGNGTGTCCTGCTCCCATTCCCCTTCCCATCTACTAACCACCATTTCATTGTGTGTATCTGTGAGTTGTTTTTTCAGTTTTCTGTCTGTGGCTTTCAGTTTCATATCCCACATATGAGTGAAATGGCAGACTATGTCATCCTATCGGCCCGATTATTGAAATCTTCCTTTCCGAAGCCACACTGTCCCAAGCATCACGTGAGACACAAACATCTTCAGGGTGTTTTTGCCCATTGAGGAGATCTATCCACCAACCTCCTCCCCAGCTCTCACGTCAGCATGTTCAGATAATACTCTTCCAGGTCCCTGATCGTTGATCGGAAATGTTGGCCAGAGCTCATGAATCAGCCTGCGATTCGATATCTGGTTCTTCCCAGACAAGTGAGGGATGAGCTGAACTGCCCAAAATTATGTCCCTTGGGAGGGCTACCAAAGATGGTGTGTTGTGCTGCTGCTGTCCAGTCTCTGGAGTTCTGTTCATAATGTGCAAAACTACCAGGGAAGGAGGCTTTGTTTACTGTTCACAGGGAGACCACCCCGGGGCAAGGGCTAGGCTGAGAGAGGACACATTATACAGCAACAGGGAAAAGGGCATTTGGGCCACTGCTTACATAAGTTCTTTGTTCCTTCATGCTCTGCCCAAGGTGAATCCTGTATGTGCCACTTTAAGTTGGTGTAGTCCTCCTGCGGTTGGCCTCTTTATGACTCTGCGAGTGACATCACACCCAGGTCATAATGGACAGCTCAGGTTGCATGGTAACTTGGTAGCCCCTGGTTGAGCATTTCTTTGAAACCGAGGTAACTCTCTGGGACAAATCACTGTCCTTCTTCAGGGTGATGGCAGCCCCTTGCCCTGAATGTTTGCCCCTCCTCGCCAGGGCTACTTTGGGCAAAAGAGGGAAGCCACCTGTGATACCCTCATGGACGTCAGCCAGAGACTGGAACACTTGCCTCCCTACGGGTGTCTGGGGATCCAGGAAGCCTGTGGTGCTTGGCCTCTGGAGTTATTTCTTCCCAGCTCTCTACAACCCAGTGAACCACGATGTTCGGGTTTGCCAGCTTCCTACCAGGAAGTTTTCAGTTGTTCTCATATGTGGCTTGGAACCTTTGAGATATACTCATGTCTTAAAGCTCTTCCAGATGAACCTGGAGTCTTGGATATAAATCAAGGGACACATCCATGCCTGCTGTTGTGGACCACTCAGAAACTTTTCAGGACCACTATGTCCTCACAGCAGAAGATGAAGGTAGATAGGAAGCCCATTGGATTGACCCAGGGCTCCTCACTCCTGCGTCTCGTGATGCTGCAGCTCATGTCAACGAATCTTCCTTAACTCACGGCTGACGCCCTACAGCACACCTACTGCCCAGTCTCAACAGAGGATCCACCTCACCCTCAGTGAACAAAAGGTTAGTAGACAAAAATATGTTTATATTATTCAAAAGCAGAAACTTTCTCCTTTCCTTGGACAAGAGGACGACTAACAGTTTTCTTGGAAAGTTATTTCAGAGATTTCTTGTGGTAACGTGGTTAATAGTGGTTAATAACTTTATATCAGTATAGTCACATGTACAACTTTATAACAAAACATGCTCCAATATGTGCTCTCCACCCAAAGTCTAGTCTCCTCTGTCCTCTTGTATTTGACCCCTTTGCCCTCCTGTCCTCACTCATGCTTTTCCCCCTCTGGTAACCACCATGATTTTGTCTATACGGAGGAGATTTTGTTTCTTTGTTCGTTTTGTTTGTGTTTTTTAATTTCCACGGAAGAAACTATAGAATGTGCCACTTTGTCTTCTTGATGAAATCCTCCACTTTGAGGCTTCACTGTGATGAACAGTATGTGAGACACAAAGATTTTGGATATTTTTGCCCTTGGCATGAGAGCTGTTCAAGAAATTTGTGCCAGTGTCATGGTGAAGGACCTATCAAACATGTTTCCTTCATGTCCATGACTGCTTTTGAAAAATAACGGCCACAGTCCTGAAACAGTATCTGCTTGCGTATGTGGTCATTTCTCATCCGAGCAAAGTGGTTGAGGAGGTGAACTCTCCCAAACTCTGCCCGTTGTGAAGGTTACGTTACCCACTGTCCTTTGCGAATGTCCAGCGATCTGTTGTGCTGCAACTGTCCACTTTGTTGTTGATCATCGATATGCACAATTATCTGTACCCCTGCCAAGACTTTCCTTCCTCTGTTAACAGGTCACAGGAGGCTCTCCCTGAGTCCACAGGTCTAGACAGAAAGAGGGATCCCTTGTATAGCAGAGAACCACAGGGGCAATTGGGCCAACCCTTCTATTGCTGCTTTGGTCCTCCCAGGTTTGATCATGTATCTACCACTTTAAATTGATGATGTCTTCCTTTGAATGGCCTCTTTATGACTCCGTGAGTGACATCATACCAGGTCATAATGGACAGCTCAGGTGGCATGGTGACTTGGTGGCTCCTGGTTAAGCATTTCTTCTTTGAAACCAAGGTAAGTCTTTGGAACAAATCACTGTACATTTTCAGGCGATGGCAGCCCCTTGCCCTGAACGTTTGCCCCTCCTAGCTAGGACTTCTTTGGGCAAAAGAGGGGATGGAAGCCACCTATGATGCTCTCATGGACTTCAGCCAGAGACGGGAACCTTTGCCTCTCCACAGGTCTTTTGGGACCCAGGAAGCCTGTGGTGCTTGGCCTCTGGAGTTATTTCTTCCCAGCTCTCTACAGCCCAGTGAACTAGGATGTTTGGGTTTGCCAGCTTCCTACCAGGAACCTTTCAGTTCTTCTCATATCTGGCTTGCAACCACTGAGACCAAAATCTACTCATGTCTTAAAGCTCTTCCAGCTGAACCTGGAGTCTTGAATATAAATCAAGGGACACATCCATGCCTGCTGTTGTGGACCACTCAGAAATATTTCAGGACCACTATGTCATTACTACAGACATTGAAACTAGATAGCAGGAAACCCATTGGATTGACCCAAGGCTCTTCACTCCTGCATCTCATGATGCTGCAGCCAATATTCAGATACTGTCTTGGTGGGATGGACTCTGGAATCAGAAATTGGCTTTTGAACTATTAATGATTGATTCTCTCCTTTTCATATAAAGTAATCTTCCTTAACTGTCTGGCAGCTAACGCCCTACAGCACACCTTCTACTGCCCAGTCTCAGCAGAGGATGCACCTCACCCTCAGTGAACAAAAGGTAAGTAGACAAAAATATGTTTATAGTATTCAAAAATGGACAAGTTTTTGCTACTTTCCTTGGACAAGAGGACGACTAACACTTTTTTTGGAAAATTATTTCATTAATAAATTTTTGCTGGTAACATGGTTAATAACTTTATATCAATATAGTCACGTGTACAACTTTATAATATAACATAACATGTCCAATATGTGCCGTTCACCCAAAGTCTAGTNAACTTTATATCAATATAGTCACGTGTACAACTTTATAATATAACATAACATGTCCAATATGTGCTGTTCACCCAAAGACTAGTCTCTGTCCTCTTGTATTTGACCCCTTTGCCCTCCTGTCCTCACTCATGCTTTTTCCACTCTGGTAACCACCATGATTTTGTCTGTATGTAGGAGATTTTGTTTGTTCATTTGTTTGTGTTTTTAATTTCCACAGAAAATAGAAACTATAGAATGGGCCACTTTGTCTTCTTGATTGATGAAATCCTCCAGTTGGAGGCTTCACTGTGATGAACAGTATGTAAGACACAAAGATTTTGGATATTTTTGCCCAAGGAGTGAGGACTGTCCAAAAAACTTTTGCCCGTAGTCATGGTGAAGGACCTTCCAGTCATGTTTCTTTCATGTCCATGACTGTTGTTGTAAAATAACGGCCAGAGTCCTGAATCAGTATCTGCTTGCATATGTGGTCATTTCTCATCCAAGCAAAGTGATTGAGGAGGTGAACTCTCCCAAACTCTGCCCGTTGTGGTTACATTACCCACCATCCTCCAGGAATATCTAGAGATTATCTGTTGTGCTGCCGTTGTCCTGGTTCTTGTTGATCATTGATATCATGCAGAATTATCTGTAAGTCACTCCTGCCCTTTTTTTCCCTCTGTTAACAGGTCACAGGAGGCTCCCCATGAGCCTACGAGTCTAGGCAGAAAGAGGGATCCCTTGCATAGCAGAGGGGAACGAGGGCAATTGGGCCAACTCTTCTGTTACTGCTTTGGTTCTCCCAGGTTCGATCCTGTATCTACCACTTTAAATTGGTGTAGTCCTCCTGCGGTTGGCCGCTTTATGATTCTGGGGGTGACATCACACCCAGGTCATAATGGACAGCTCAGGTTGCATGGTAACCTGGTGGCCCCTGGTTGAGCATTTCTTCTTTGAAACCGAGGTAACTCTCTGGGACAAATCACTGTTCTCCTTCGGGGTGATGGCTGCCCGTTGCCCTGAATGTTTGCCCCTCCTAGCCAGAACTGCTTTGGGCAAAAGAGGGGCTGGAAGCCACCTGTGATGCCCTGATGGACTTCAAGCAGACTGTAACCCTTGTGTCCCCACAGTTCTCTTGGGAGCCAGGATCCCTCTGGAGCTTGCCTGTAGGGTAACCTCCTGCCCAGCTCTCTGCAACCCAGTGAACCATGATGATGAAGTTTGCCAGTTTTCTACTATGAATGTTTCCAGTTTTTCTCACATCTGTCTTAGAACCAGAGACAAAAATCTCGTCATGTCTTGAAGCTCTTCAAACAGGTATGAAACACTGATGTTATTTTACCTTTGTCAACATAAGAAATATCCAGACCTTTAGAGAATTTTTATGTGTTTATTTAAGCCAAACTACAACTGTTTCTGGGAAGCAAAATATCAGCTCATTGAAAAAATGCTCAGGAAGTGCAGTTTTGCAACTTATTTTATACATTAGAATCAAAGAGGAGGTAAAGGAGAGTTATATGATATCCACTGTTGATAGATTAAGGAGGAGGGGGAAAGGAACGTGGGAAATCTTTGGGGCTGGATAGAGAGCAAACTGCAGAGACAGATACTTCTTTTATATAGGTGGGCTCAGGATGGTTAATCGTTAACATTTACAACACACAGAGGTGGTATTTGGGCAACAAGTTAACAATGAGGGGCTCTGTGGTCTCTGTTCTGGTGGGAGGTTGTACCCTGCGGGGTCTGGAAAAAGAAATCACTGACATTCCAAAGGCCTTTGTAGATTCAAAAACTACAGACAGGCTCAGTTAAGGCAAAGACTGACCTTTGTCAAGGAAAGTACTGGCCTAGGTGGTGACTACCCCCTGTGACTCACTTTTAGTTAGGTAGTCTGAATTTTAGGCGACCCTATGTGGTTACTTTCTGTCTCTTGAGTTTGTAAGGCTGCCGTGCAGGCCTCCCCTGAGCTTGTCGGGTTCAGTATGTGGCTCCTTTTTCGTCCACACCTCAGTGCATTTAAAAGAAACTGAGGTATTTCAGTGTGGTAAAAAGTCTAATGATATTTTTGGATTTTAGGGTCATGCTACTTACATGCAAAATTGTGCCTAATTTGGGGAAGGGAGGGTGAATATAAGGACATTGTGCCTGTGTACAATCGGATTGGCAACCATGTGGTGTTCTTTGTTGCTTGTAGTGATTGGACAGGTGAAGGAAAAATAGAGCATCCGCTGGTGCTTGACATCAGTGGAGTGGGAGTTCAGGTGAATGAGGAGGCAGTTAAATTTGGGTTAGTGACAGAGGTCCGGACAATCTACCCCCAAATACAGCACCTTGGCATATTCAGTATTTAAGCAGACGGGATTTGATGAAGGGAAGGTGCTAGAAGACCTCCCTGACCCTCCTGCCTGAAGCAGGTGGTAAGACGCTCGCAGGAGAGGTGCCCTCCTTATATTGGGAGGAAAGGAGGATCCTTATCTCTGAAGACAGAGGGACACCAAGAGGACTCTGAGTGAACAGGCCTTGTTAAGTTCCTCAGTTTACTACACTTAGCTCATTCCCTTTGTCCTATCACAGTTTCCCATGACTTTCCACTCCTCATCAAACCTCGTATAAAAAACTCAGTTTTAACCATTTCTATGGCTCCTTTCCTTATGAAGCCTCCTGTACCATGTAAAATAAATAAACCAGTATGTTTTTCTCTTGTTTTTGTTTTTTTCAAAATCTAGGAGAAAGTTTATTTAGAAAGTCAGAGTTAGAAGAAATGGGCCCAGAAAACAAGTTACAGAGGCAAAAGAAGGGCCCGTGGAGCTTACGAAAGAGGAAAATCAAATGGGTCACGTGCCGGGGGAAGAAGAGGGGGAGGGGAAAGGCACAGGCATGCTCTGGGAAGGAGAGCGAGCTTTCTCTCGTTAATCTGCCTTTTGTTATAGAGCCCCAGCTGAGAGTCTAGAAAGGCGGCAAAAAAATCTTTTTTGCTCCCCTATAGTAGAAATTCTATGATTTGGATTGTACACAGTCCTGGAGGATTTCAGAGGATGTACGGGCATGTAGTCCACACCTAAGTGGTCAGAGAAGGCTCCCTGGAGGAGGCAAATTATGACTAGAGACATAAAGGGTTAAGTAGTAGAAACTCAAGAAAAATAGAGCAGGAAAGGCAAAAATAGGATTTCTGTTTGAGGTAGGAAACAGTATGAACAGGTGACAAAATGTTTGAGACACCGTATGTAGAGAATATTTCATGTCTGAATCAAGTTGATTACATGATGGAGTTATACTTCAAGGGTATTTAATGTGACTGTAATTACTTGATTCTATGCCATTCTTCTTCATTATTAGCTACATTTGACATTTTTCTCATAGGAATGCCACCTGTGTGACTATAAGTTGAAAATTGTTTTATTTATTGATGTCTGACAAGTTCCTAAAGTAAACCCTTGGTTTTAGAGAGAGTATACAGGTAAAAAAAAGTAGGGGGTTTGGCAGAGAGGGAAAAAACACCCTGAAGGACAAGGGGGAGCCACAGGGAATTATGGTTTATAGTTGGCACCAGTCTCTTCACTTGCTTGGACTTTCCTGTGCAGGACACAAGGTCAACCATGAATATTCATTCCATGCACAAGTTCCTTGCATGCCTTCATCCATCATGTGTTGGGCATGCAGGTTTTACTTGGTCCACTGGATTTGCAGTGCCACCTGGCATGAGGAAATCCGGACACAGTCAGCCTCACTCAGAAGCTCCCAGCAAGTTGTCCTCAGTCTCTGCTGGAGAAAATGCTGAGTTGAAACTGAGAGAGAGATACATTTTCAAGGCTGAAGGGAGAAAAGAACAAGGTGGGTCTGAGAACCAGAAATAACTACAATCAAGTAGGAATGTGGGTTTTTTTAAATCTTTATTTTTAAACTGAAACATAACGCTATGTTTTGCTTACAAGAGAGAAACACAACTCAGAATTATTCACAATAAAAATGCAGGGTAGCCTGGCCAGTGTTGCTCAGCGGTTGAGCGTCAACCTAGGGTCCAGGAGACCGAGGTTGGATGCCCGGTCAGGGCACAGGCCCAGTTGCGGGCTCAATCCCCAGCAGGGGGTGTGCAGGAGGCAGCTGATCACTGAGTCTCATCATTGATGTTTCTCTCTCTCTCCGTCTCCCTTCCTCTCTCTGAAATACATAAAGACATATTTTTTAAAAATAAAAATGCAGGGCAACCTGGCTCCATATCCAGCTTTCATGCCACTTTCTGTGGCTAAGTGTTAAGGTTGCTCTGCACCCTGCTTGTGGGCTGAGCACACCCACAGCACCCGGCGCTGTAGTCACGGCCGCCCCCGCAGCTCATTGACTGTGAAACGCGTCCAGGGGTCCGTGGCGGGGGGAGCGCCGCTCTGCAGGCGGTGGGGGCGCACCTGCCCCTCCTCGGCCGCGCGGTGGCCGCAGGGGCCGTGGCGTCCCGGCCTGTCCTTGGAGGCGGCTCGTGCACCTTTTCGAGCACCAGTTGGGGCAGGGGGAGGGTCGTCCTCGCCTCGCCTTTGCTTCCGCTTCTGGCTGGGTGACCTTCCCTTTGGCCCGTCCTCCTGACAGCTGAAGCCCTGTGGCGCTTCCTCCAGTTGTGCGGCCACTTTTACTTACTTTCCTATATGATTTTGCAATCAGAGTCAGAATCATCAGAGTTCCTCTAATTGTTGAAAACATGCTCTTAGGTTTGAAAATAACATTCCCCCCCCTTTGCATTAAAAATAGAGCATCCAGCTTAGCTGGTTAATTCTCTGGGAAAGTTTTGTCCCCACTTCCCCCCCCGCCAACGATGAGCCTGCTGCGCCCACACTTAGTTGAGGCTTTAACTAAAATCTGTTCATTTAAAAAAAAATTTTTTAAATATATCTTTATTGATTTCTGAGAGAGGAAAGGGGAGAGAGAGAGAGAGAGAGAAACTCCAATGATGAGAGTCCTTGTGGAGCCCGCAGCCCGCGCCTGTGCCCCACCCGGGAATCGAGCCCGATCGATGCTCCAGGTCGATGCTCAGCCGCTGAGCCCCGCCCGCCGGGCAAGTCTGTTCATTTTATTTTTTAATTTTTAATTTTTTAAATTTTATTTTTGTTTAAAATACTACAGATGACCCTTTTCCTCCCCAAGGACCCGTTCCACCCCGTCCCCTCCCTCCCCAGGCCCTCCCCACCACTGTCCGCGCCTTGGGTCCTGCGTATCTGCCTATGAACCCTTTGGTCGCTCTCCCTCCGCCCGCCCGCCTCCTCCCTCTGATTCCTCGGTCTCCTCTGTGCCTCCGTGTCACTGAGTCTGTTCTGCCCATCAGTTTATCAAGTTCTGTGGATTCCGCCTATAAGCGAGATCATGTGGTGTTTGTCTCATTTCACTTCAGCCTTCACTGTGCGTCCGTCAGCGCCCGTGGACGCGGGGGCAGCCGCGCGGGACCTGGTTTGCTCCAGCGCACCGTGAGCTTTACTTTGTAGCGCTTCTTGGGAAGAGCACCTCTTACGGCACAGCCACGTTCAGTTTCTGTTAATTTATATTCTTATTCCGGGCAGCCGCAGCCTGGGCCCGGGAGGCGGAGGCC